GAGCCGTGGTGTAGGGGGCAGGCACAGCTCTGAAAATGGATCTGAAAATGTATCTCGCCCTTTGCCTTGCAGCCTTTCACCAGGAGTGAGATCATCGGCTTCACCATCGGCTCCATCTCCTCCGTGCTGTACCTGTGCTCCCGAGTCCCCCAGATCTACACGAATGTGAGTGCCACCCTGGGAGCAGGGCAGGATGGCAGCCCCGTCCCAGGGAGCCCCTGGGGTCCTGAGGCTTCAAACTGCAGAGGGACAGTGGGATCATCTTTCTCTTTGCTCACAGGTCCCAGGTCCCCATCTCAAATATTTCATAAGGGACTATTTTTCTGTGTTTCTGCTACAAAACCTGATTCGTTTTCCTCCCATCCCTTTAACATACCAATATTTTGAGGGTGGGGCTTTCATTCTGTCTTTGTGTACAAGCAAAAGGGGAACTAAATGGCTCTTGGCATTGAGTCACCACCTTTCTTCTGGTTTTTTGGGGGTGGGGGCAGGTGATTTAATACTACTTTCCTGTGAGATTTCAGAGAGCTGCACTCAAGCTCTTCTCTCTCTGGCCCATCTTCTTCCAGTACAAGAGAAAATCCACCGTCGGGGTCTCCTACTCCCTCTTTGCCCTGGTGATGCTGGGGAACTCACTCTACGGCCTCAGCGTCCTCCTCAAGAACCCCGAGCCGGGGCAAGGCGAAGGCGACTACGTCCTGCACCACCTGCCCTGGCTGGTGGGCAGCCTGGGCGTCCTCTCCCTCGATGTGGTTGTATCCTTCGCCCACCGGTGCTCTCCCCCGGGATTGCATCCCGCCGGCAGGGCTTTGCCGGGAGCAATCCCGTCTCGGGGTTAGGCAGGAGCGGGTGGGTTGATGCTGCTGAGCACTGCTTTAAGCTGTGCTCCTCGGTAATTTATGATGTTGAAACAGCTGAGCGCTTCAGACCCTTGTCTGCATTAAGCTCGTTGTCCTGTTTCCACCTCTCCGGACACAAACAGGTGGTGAGATCCAGTGTTTCCCGTAGATCCCTCCTTGCTTGTGTGAAGAGCCTTAACCTCTTCTCAGATCTCCTTCCAGTTCTTTGCCTATCGGAGAAGAAGACCCAGTACCCATGAAGAGAGGGATGCTCTTCTCAGTGACAGCCTGGAGAGCTGACAAAGGGACCTGCGCCAGAGCGGGAACGGGAGGATGCAGACGGAAAAGGTGGCCTTAACATTGGGAAATCCGGCCCCTCTGTCCTGGTGACTCTTTGGAGAAGAGCCAAGGGGTGACACGTGCTGCTAAGACCCAGGCCCCGCCAGGTGGCAGAGGATACTGCTGAGGGACCTTGTGCCTTTTTGATACCAATGATGCCATCGGGATTAACAGGGAATTACTTGATACCTCAGAAGGTCGCTTCTCACGGCCCCCAGTCCCTTCTGCCTTACCTGCTGTCTCTGAAGTGTGATCTGGAGTTCCCCTGGTACCAGCAAACATGAGAAGAGCCTCGGGGGGCTGCAGGGAGGGGACAGAGGTGACAAAGATGGGCACCCCATACCTCTGTGGGCCTCGCGACTCCACCACTGAGCTCCTTCCGGAAGATAAGGCAGTGACTTGGAGCCAGTCCAGAAGGAAGGAGCAGCTTAACCAAAGGGGTTTGCTCCGCACAGACCTATTTTAATTAGCACAGCTGGCACGTCTATAAAACAAATCCTTGCCCCATGTGCCTCCTTTGGTTTTATTTTGCTGGTTCACCTGGCACCTCCTGCCTCGTTCTTAAGGCACCTCATAATCCCCGTTTCTCCAACTTCTCAGTTTTTGCCTCACCTGCGTTTTAATTGTACAGGTTTCTTGGGGAGGTTTCTCCATCACCAGGTTAGCTGCAGAGGCCGTTCCCGTCAGAAGATGCTTGGTCTGGGTTTTGGCCAGCACGGTGGCTCTTTGACTGAAGGACCAGGAGCAGGGCTGGTTTGGGAAAAGCCTCGTCCCTGGCACAAAAATGCTTTCGGGTGAGCAGGGGAGGGCGGAGGCAGGGGATGGGCTCCTGCCCCCATGCCCGGCTCTTTCTTCTGGGGAGGAGCCACCAGAACTCGCTGGGAAAGCGGGAGGGAAAGGCAACACAAAGCTTGTAGGCCCTTCAGGGAAAGCTCACACAACCTGGCCTTGTACAAACAAGGACTTTCCTTTCCTGCAGTCACTCTTTTTTCCTCTCCCCCTTCCTTGTTCTCCAGCTACTTCCCCAATACCCAGCGCTTCCCCACTGCCCACCCGGCACCTTGCGCCCCGCCCTTTTTGAGGTTACCTGTATGATCACATCTTCACAATTCCTCAGCCAGTGCCGTGGCATTTCTCCTTCCCACTATTTGGAACTGAGCTGTTGGTTTTCAGAAAGAAAAAATATTTTTTCATGCTCTTTTGACCCCTACCCCCCATAAAAAAAAAAAAAAAACA